TGCCTATAAAATCCAACTCCTCACACCCTATTGGCATATTCATCGCCCTGATGACGGAGGCAGTATGACCTCTGAAACGTTGGTTAACATCGACCAGACTACACAGCGCAATAACCCAGAAGACAGAAATCTTCATATTCACCGCTGTGAGAACCTCAAGTCTTACATGTGTACTTTTTGTTTGGGTGCATGAAACTCATGATATAATATCTTAAACAGCGACGGAAACTTTTTCCTCGACTGTAAGGAGTGTTGTTAATGAGGGCATCCTCATATAGTCATCAAATTGCAAATTTTATAGGCTACTAATTTTGGTTATGTGATGTCAGTACACAAATCATTAAAACTTACCTTGACGCCTTTTTGACTGCTGAAGTCTGTGCTGAGGCACTGCACCGCTACGTTTATCTGGAAATTTGAAAAATAAAATCAAATTAAAATATAATCGGCTGGTTGTTTTCGCTAAAATGCAAAGTGTGTAGGATATCTTATACTTGCGCGCTGTCTCCATAAGCGAGGTTTTAGAGTTAGATAGCGCCTAAAGGACATGTTAGACATAAGCCCTAAAAATAAAGTAACAAAGTAACTACTGCGCTTGGAACCGTCTCGACTGACTGTGGCAAATTACCATAAAAGCAAGAGATACTTGTGAGGTAAGTACGAATACACTGTCCTAATGATTTACCGCTTAATATTATAACTAGAAATGTTACCCATACTTAAATGACACTTTAAAGCTATATAATTAGGACGATTTGAAAGTGGTATTTAAGTACGGTTCTGAATAAGTCAATAACCCCACAGAGTATAGTCTAATGTTAGGTCAAAATCATTTCATCCTACGAGCAAATCAAAAGAAGTTCACATTATGAGTAAGTGTGGGTTTATATTATCAGCAACTTTACGGCTTTGTGTCTCTTAATATTCAGTCTCTGTTATATGATAACTGTTGATTACATACAAGGATTACAAGATACATTCTTTTCCGATTCTATTCTACACATTACTTGAGTGGACAAGCACAGCATCCAATGACAATAAAGTAACAGGAAAATAACCTTATTATGCTTTCGACCCTTGTTATGAAAGTTTTTGGCTCTTTATTTATATTTCATCACATTGCACAACTACTGTAATAAGAAATTCTGGCACGGCAAATGAGCAGTTCATTTACGGACACCCTGTTCTGAGGCTGTTAAAAGCTGAGCGCTCTTCAGATTTGATATTTTTATTGTTCAAGTCTATGATGAGGTTAAACAGAACAGGGTGAGGCATGTGTGAGGAAACAACTTATTCAGAGTGGCTGAAAAGAATGTTTCCGCTCTTTTAAAACTTATGAAGCATTTAAATGGATGCAATCTGCATTCCAGGAAATAAATTCAGGTAATCAGCGACAGTATGCAGATCGATAGTTCTTAATTACGTTTTATGGAGTCATATACAGTAAGTAGTTAGGCTTGACAGACAGTGTGTTTCATTAACGTTAATATCTGTTTATCCGACAGATTTCTATCCCATCACGAGCGATTTATGCTTTCGTACATTCCCATAATCATGTATTGATTCCTAACTACAAGCTGTTTTTAACCAATAACAATTACTCTTCTAACCCTCTTATGCTGTCAACTAGACACCACTCAAAATCCGGTCAATTGCTGCGAATAACTGTAGTGTTAAATAATGTCGGCTAAATAACACTTCTTTTAACATCTCTATAAAGATTATATTTTAGTCGTTTCACTATTGAAAATTATTTTTACGTTACCATGGATACATAGAAACATACTGTTCAATGTACTTCAGCGTGGAGATAAGAAGCAATAATAGAGATACCACAACGTATGATTACGATGTTTATGAGTGATAATTTATTGAAACCGCAAAGAAAATTGGAAATTCAATGTGTATAAAATTAAGAAATAACGAATATTTAGTTGCTTACAAGAAAGTTTTATAGATGGTGATCTACCTGACTGGTTAATAACGCAATGCCCATCATTTGGTGATGCAAATAAAAGCTTATGAACCGTCTAAAACTTGGTTGATACTACAAGTAAGAATGCTGTTAACATGTTAGGAATTAATTTCTACAACACACAATTGTAATTGAAGCTTTTCAGGAGCTTCGGTGAACAATTTTTTGTAATATTTAATTACCTTGCAGAACATTCGTAAAGAGAAACACGCGTCTCGACTTTTTCCCACCGAATCAGCGAACGATTCATAGAGTGTGAATCTCTAGCCAGAGGTCCCAGACTTTCAGCAATAAAAGCATATGGTGCTGAGACCAGTCGCCCCCGGCGTCCATGCAAAACACAACGCGATGCTCCATACTGGCATATACACGCTGTAACATGTCCGCAAGAATGTCTGCAGTCTCCTGGTAACTGTGTCGAAAAATGTTTGGACGCCGAGGGCCACTGCTTTCATCACTTAATGTGACGGGCTGTAGTTTCGCAAAGACCACAAGGGCAGAGATCTGTGTCTACAGAATTTTATCGCAGTAAATAGTAGTTTTGTTGCTAAAACTGTAGGGCCTGTATTCTATAGAAGTTCGCGCTGTAGTGTTATTAATATAGTCACGAACAGTTTTGAATATAAATCAAATATACCATTGAGGAATAAGTTTTTTAAACAACAATCTCTCTAATTTTATTACGTCAAAATATCCTAGAATTATTTTTGCTTAACAGTAAATCCTTATAACAGTGAAACGAATGAAAGGAAGTCAATGCAGTTTCATCCTTACCGCTCGTCTTCATACGTTAATGGACTGTACATGTACAATATGCCAAAAAATATCGTGTTCATATGTGTTCGGTTTAATTGCATAGTACTAAATTAGCCACAGACAAAAACACTTTTATTATAAAATATACCTACACTAGAATGTGATACTGATCTTTATAATGAAGTAAATTCATTCAACTTACATTACATGTGTAGTCATTTTCGTACAAGAGAAGATTTAAAGCATCTCAACTTAATTTAGTTTAATGGAAGGAATTATTGTGATTACCAAGAGCCTGGGTTATTAAAATAAAAGGACGGCGTATAAAATATAATAAGAGGTCTTGTGAAGTGTAACCCACAAGAAGGGTTTCTAATAGATACTTGGCATTAAAGGTTTATCTGTGGGGGGTCTTCTAGAAAGATGATGCATTAGTCAGTCACCGGACCATGCATCTTTCTCGCTCTACGAACATACAGCATAGAACACGTGGGATAAACGTGGAGACAGGATGAAAAATGATGAACTGGCCTCCTGGTCTCCTCAATCCATCATTCAAAAGTCGGAACCTTCCGCCATGTTTACACCACTAAAACTACTCGTCGTTTCGGTGGTCATTCGTTTCATCTTATAATGAAAGTGATACGTGGTGGAAGTAATAAGACTAACATTTTTTGTAATGAATAAAAACAAACGAATAAACGTAACTCTGTGATTATTAATAACGTCTAGTACGAGTAGTCAATTTAATGCGCGTGGCATCTGAAAACTAAAATTATAACAGAACCACTCAGTGTTTTATTTCTAGTTGTGTGTTTTCTAAATATACTGAGAGATGTAACTTATCATTCCCATGCAGCGGAGTTTTCATGCTTGTAGTTCTTATAAGCGTGAACTATTTAGGCATGAATTTTAATTGCCATTCTGATTAGGGTTCAAGCCACAAAATATCACTGTAGCATATGTATAATGAGAGTCAATGCAGTCATAAATCAATTAAATACTATTTGTGTTACATTAACGTTCTTAAATATATATGGTGTATTGCATCTTGTGGAGTTGTAAGATACAGCAACACAACATGCAACACACACTCATTAATAGAATCGCATTACTTCTCACAGCCTTAGAATGTAAATAAACATATTGTTATTAAAATATATCTTAAGAAATATATAAATTTTCGAGAATTTTAACACAAAGCCCCATCTTAGGCACAGCAGTCTAGACATCCAGTTAATAGGTATTTGCCTTCCCAGGGAAGGGATCAAAGATATTCAAATGCCAATTTGAATAAAACAAAATATATGACAATAGGAGGAATAAATGAAGATTTGGTCCTGGAAGAAGGGATGGGAACAACAACACAGGCTGAAGAATTTAAATATCTAGGAGTGAAAATTACAAATGATGGGAAACCAGACAAGGAAATTAGATCAAAAATAAATTCAGGGAAGTCGACGATCTCTATATTATATGGTAAATTATGGGATAAACAGATAACAACGGATACCAAAACCAAAATATTTAAAACAATAGTTAGAAGTATCATGGCATATAGCTCAGAAGTTTGGACTATGAAATCACAGTTACTTAAAAAATTATTGGCAGCTCAGATGGACTTTTGGAGACTTCTGCAAAGGTATCGAGACGGGAAAATTTAAGGAATGAAACTATTAGAGATAGAATGAATGTTCAAAATTCAATTCTTGATTTTATCCAACAAAAGCAATTAGAATGGTATGGACATACAAAAAGGTTGACGGAAGAGAGATTACCGAAGAAGGTCATGGAATGGGTACCGCCTGGAAGAAGGAAAAGAGGGCGTCCTCCAAACACCTGGATACAGGGAATTCAATCATCAGTGAGGAAGAGAAACATCGAAGAGGATTTGTGGGCAGGCAGACAAGAATGGAGAAGAAGAATAATGAATGTAAAATGTGAAATATCAAATGTAACCTTGGGTACCGGAAAAATGTACAAACATTGTTAAACCGGAAATATATATAAAAGGTAATGTAGGAGAACACATTCGGAGTTTCAAATGTCTTGTTGTTTTCCTTTTATAGTGTCTGACTTATTTCAGACTTCTTTTTACGTAACAAAACATATCCTTCATATCGAACTCTTAGGGCTATATACCTTCTTCCTGTAAAAGTAACTTTTACCTTACATGATCATTTTAACTGTCGATGAAACAGTAAATATAATGGTGCCAGAAAATATTTCTTTGTTAAGCGTGTGTGCTTTTGTACTTGAAATGTTAATAAAATTTCATCACACCCTGTCGGCTGCTTAAGAAACAGTACTTACTAACTTTCTGTTTCCTAAATGATAAGTCCTACCTGAAAATCGTTTCCTGCAGGCCTATAATGAATCATAATAACAACACCATCTTCAAGACTCAACTTTTATTCACATTTCCCATCTACTAATATCAAAACCCCGAGGCTACACAGAAAATATAACACACGAAGTCAAGCTTTTTTAATGCAGGTTCTTGCCCGGAAATTCTCGCTGAAAAAAAGAATTATCCCAAGGCAGCTAAGCGAGATTGACTTTGAATGTGAACACTGTTTAATATATCCGGCTGTCGCGTGCCTGCCAGCCCCTAAGGGCTTCCTAGAGTCAAGGGCGCCATAATGGTCTCTCCGATAATCACTACTATGTTTTTCGA